AGAAACTGTCTTTCCATTTTATCTCTTCCTATGCCTTCTGAGTTATCATCTACCTCTGAATGGAACTAGTACTTCCAATTGAGAAATGCCCCAAATCATGTTTTCTTTAGTAGTTGTGGCACTACCATGCTTTTAAAGCAAAAATTAGTGTTCCCTAGTTAAAAGTGTTCAGCTTCTTCTTATTTTAGACAGTCAAGACATTATGTCTTCTGCCAGGCGCAGTGGCACATACCTGTAATCCTAGGGATTAGGGAGGCTGAACAGGTGGATTGAGAATTTAAAGCCAGTCTCTGCAAAAGCAAGGTGCTAAGCAAATCAGTGAGACCCTGTCCCTAAATAAAATACAAAATAGGGCCGGGGATGTGGCTCAGTGGTCAAGTGCCCCTGAGTTTAAGTTCATTCCCCAGAATGCACACACACACACCAAAAAGAAAAAAAGAAAAAAAAAAAAAGATTTTATCTTACTCTAAATGACAATTCTCCATTTTACTTTCAAGTTTTGTGTGCTCTTGATTTAATACAAGCAATATGACTTTTAGTCACATTCTCTCTTTCCTGTGCTTATTTTCTCTGTGGAATTCACCGATTAATCTATTTTTGAAATATGCAGGAGCCCATATTGGATTATAGATGAAAAGAAATGATAACAAATACTAGGTGACTGTAATTCACTTGAAATTGTTTGTATAGTGATTTTCTCTATTAATGTGAAAAATGTATATAAAAACACAGGTAGAGATTTTCAGAGTTGAAGAATATGCTATGTGTCACTTCCACAATATCAAAAAGCAATGGCAGCTTGTTATTTCACAAGATCGATAAACTCCATTGGAAAATAGACCTAAAACTAAAGCTATCACATATTGACGTTTTCCTCACTCCAAATCATCTGCCCATGCTCATTTTACCAACCCAACTTGAGGAAATGGCACTGGGCACTCTATAGCAAACTTGTAGGGCAACCATTGTTCTGGTGAGGTGGAGTGATGAGCCTGATTGGTCCTATGGGCCAGTATGATTTGCATATATCAATGACCCAGTTCTGAGATTCTTTAGAAACTGTCCCTTTTGGGAAGGAGGTCAGATGGAGCATTCAAGTTCTCACAGTCAACTCCCCAGAGGCGGGGAGTTCATATGGCATATGAACTAACACAATATAACTACCAATTTTCTTTATTTAGCTTCAGTATGCTTCCCTAGCATACAATTCTACTTCCAATGGGGGAATTTTTTTTTCTTTTACAACTTGCTTCCATTGGTAATTAGGTCACAAAATTTAACTGATTTATTTTAAAACTGGCAGTTTATTTTAACTATGCTTCTTGACTGCATCTTTCTGTAAAATAAGGGACTATAACTTTTCCCTCTTCATCAGAAATACAAAAATGGAATTTTCCATTAGTCCTTTATGCATCTGGAGATTAAAAGACCATCACCAGAGAAGACAAGACCAAAACAAATGTTTTCTTGCTCTCATGATATTTGGTTGCTTTAATTCTAGCGCTCCAAAGTTGGATCTATCTAAAGTACATTTAAGATTAAATAGTTATCTTCTCTCTGATTTAATTGTTTTTACATGCCATAATTACATAAATACAAAAAGCAAAGCAAAGGAAAAAAATCTGTTTTTAAAACTTGCAAAAGTACTGTCACAATACATAATTTAATACTGTAGCTATTGAGGTTCTAAGCATGAGTCAATTATGACTTTGCCTTATCAGTAAGATAAAACAATAACCCTTATATTATTTTAAACACACTTTTAGTCATTTTTATATCCCCTTAATTATTGTTTCAAGATTCTCATCCAGGGATTGGAGTTGTGGCCCAGTGGCAGAGTGATAGCCTAACACATGTGAGGCACTGGGTTCAATCCTCAGCACTACCTAAAAATAAATAAATAAAATAAAGATATATTAAAAAAAAAAGACTTCAGGGACTGAGGTTGTAGTTCAGTGGTAAAACGCTTGCTTAACACATGTGAGGCACTGGGTTCGATCCCCAGCACAACATAAAAATAAATACATAAAATAAAAATATTGTGTCCAACTAAAAAATAATTTTAAAAAAATGACTTTAATCCAAATATATTCCCCCAGTGGACAAATCATCAAAGTTTTCAATCAAAACCACAATCATTCTGTTATAACCCACTAAGTGGGGATTTCCTCATCAGATAGATAGTTTTAATTACACTTTTCTTCTTTAGAAATCCCAAGAGTCCACAGAGCTGTATTTTCCTAATGAGTGTGGGAATCCTTACCACTCCCAGGTGAATAGCCTGCTTGGAAAGGCAATTCCCTTGGTTGAGTAGGAATGAATGTCAAAGATGTAGAAAAGGAAGTTGAGTGCATTCAATTTTCACTAGCCTAAGTCATAGCTGTTAAAATTCAAGTTTCATCTGAGGCACTGAAGTAGAATAATATGAAATTCCAAAGTGAGATTCCATAGTGCAGACTATAAATAAAAATACCAAAGATCAGACTCATGAACCTAAAATTCTTCACCCCAAAGAGTAAATAAAAGTGTTTAGAAAGTGGAAATTGAGGTAGGAATTTGGAGTAGTTGCAATGGTTAGTTTTATCTGTCAACTTGACTGGGTTATGGGGTGCCCAGTTTAAACATTATTTTTGGGTATGTCTGTGAGGGTTTTTCTGGATGAGATTAGCATTTGAGTTAGTGAACTCAAACAAGTAGATTGCCTTCCCCAATAAGGTTAGGCATCCTTCAATCTGTCAAGGGCCTCAATAGAACAAAAGGTGAAGAAAGAAGGATTTGCTCCATTTTTCCCTGTCTTGCTACTTGAGATGAGATTCTTATTTCATCTTCTCCTGCGCTTGAACTGGGATTTGTATCATCAGCATTCCTGGTTTTCAGGCCTTCCATCTCAAATTGAATTGTACCACCATCTTTTGGGGAGTCTCCACCTTCCACAAAGCAAGCATATCTTGGGACTGTTCAGACTCCAAAATCATGTAAGCCAGTATGATATAAATGAATGCCCAAACTATGATAGAATTTCTAAGGATGGGAAAACATTGGGACCTTATTCTATCTCTATTAATGTGCTGTTGATGTATACATTGCAATAATTACCCACTGCTATATATGTGTAGCTCTCATATGAAGAATGGCAGAGCTAGGCAGAGAGTAAATAGAATAAAGATTGTGACACCAAGTCTAAAATATCTTCAGTGAGAAGTTTTAGTGTTTCTCAGGGAGACCCTGCCCTCGTATCCTTCACAGCCAAATTTGCAATTTATGGATGTTAAGGAAGGCCCTTTAGTGTAAGTGATGCTTGATCCTTACTACCAGGTTCATGTGAAATGCAGAGGCCACATACTATTTATCTGTATTGCACAGAGAATAATAGCTAAAAGTTAGCACATACTACATGCTTAGCACTTAGATTAAATATTCTACAAGCATCATGTTCATGTGTAATATATTAATTTCTCCACTTCACAGATAATGAAACAGTCTTAGGCTAAATAATTTATTTTAGGACAAACACTTAGTGGAAGAGGGAGCTGCAATTTGAACTCACTGAATATCTCCAAATTCCTAACTTTGAACCTCTGCTTAGATGAACAAAAATGTATCTTAAACATTAAGCAACATATTTAAGGGCCTACATGTTGTTAACAGATATGAGTCTTAACAGCTTGTCCTCAACTCAAAAGATTTCCAGCGGAGATCTTCAACTCTCTCATAGTGAGAGAATTCACTAAAAATGCGCGAATAAATTATACTAGATTAGAATATTTGGTAGCCAGTTAAAAATTCCAACGAGGATTTAAAAAAAAACATGTAAAGCATTTTTGCATTCCAAGTCAAGAAAGCCTATAAACTATATTAATGTTTTCAAATCTGTGTGAATACACTTATCTACGTAGACATATATAAATACATGACTGAATGAAAGCAGTGAGTTCTATGTATGTGTTTATGGGTGCATATATGATTACATCCTTTTAAAATACAAATGTTTAGAAGGAAATGCACTAAAATATTAACATTGTTATCTCTAGCTGGTGGAATTATCAGGTTGTTCCCCAAGTTCTTGTTCAACCATATGGGTGAATTTGATTTTTGGCAGAGTGTAACTGAACAACTTCTAGGCATAACATTTGCTGTGAACACCTACAAGAAATAGGCGGTTATGCCCACCATTCAACACTCCTGCCTAGAGGAAGGATGGCATGCCCAGCCAACTATCCAAGTTCATGCAGTACCTTGGGAACTTGGTGCTTGTCCTGAAACCTCAGGTCTGCTGCGGCGCCCAATACTTCCCATTCTTAATTGTTTATTTCTTTCCATTGTTCAGGTGTGGAAGCCCAAGCAAGTCAGGGGTCCAGGGCCAGTGACTTTGAGTTTGTCATTCCCTCAGTCACCACTGGTCCTCTGTTCAGGCCACTCTGGCTCACTGGCTTCCCTCTCCTCCCTGCCTCCCACCAAGCTTGCATGCCTCCCCCCCCCCCCATTCCTTCCTCAACCTTTGGAAGAAATCATCCTCTGGGTTTCACGCCAGAGACCACCGTGTGCCCCTCCCATGCCATTATAGTCCCTTTCTCAATATCTCTTTAAAGAGAAGACAGCAAAGGTGAGCAGGAAGCCGCCAGCAAGTTTTGACAGCTGCTGAGGAAGACTAATGGGTTTCTAAGGAAACAGAGAGGCAGCAGCCATTTTAGTGGCATTTGCTGTATGAAAAATATATAGACACTGACATCCCTCCCACCCCCAAGCAGTCCGGTGGTGCCTGTCCTTTCCTCACTTCAGAGGCCCGGAGGTGAGGGTGGGGCCCAGGTCTGGTGGGACTCTAGGGCCACCTGTCGCAGGTGGCTGTCCACCCGGGTTCGCCACCTCTGCCTCCCCACAGCGGGCAGGACCCAGGTGCTCCCCATCCTGGGCGCCGCAGTGCAGCGGCGCGGGCGGCTCGGCCCTCCGGGCGCCTGCGTCCCGCCCCTCAGGTTCCCTCCCTCGCCAGCCCCCGCCCCGCAGGACGCGGGAGCCCGCAGGGAGGGCGGCCTGTGGCAGCCGCCGGGGAGGAGCAGGGTCTGAGCGGCGGGCGAGGCGGAGGCGGAGGCGGAGGCAGAGCGAGCGCGGGAGGTCGCTGCTACTGGGGCCACCTCGCGCCGCTGCCCAACATGGTCGCTGCGCACGCTGCCCATTCTTCCTCCTCTGCCGAGTGGATCGCCTGCTTGGATAAAAGGTATCTCAGGCAGGGTCCCCAGCCCGGGCCGGGTTCCGAAAGCGCTGCTGCCCCTGTCCCTGTCCTGAGACCTCCGCGGACACGGTCGCCAGGAGCCGCAGTCCGGCACCTGGGCGCAGCTGCGGGGCATCGGGGCAGCGGGGACCGGGGTCCCCGAGCGGGGGAGGGGCCGAGGTCCTCCTCCCAGATGCAGGCAGCTAGAGACCCCAGCATTTCGGGGACGCCACCTGCGTGAGATTATTACACGTGGTGGGGAGAATGCAGCGCAGTGGGGGACAGAGCTGCAGCCCCCCGCCCCTGCGACTCTAGGTTCCACTCTTAGGTGGGGGTTATTTTCTCTTGGCATCACGGGACAGAAGAATGGAAACATTCGATCTTCCGGCTTTTCAGACATCAGGGGTGAACGTAATTTAAGTTTTAAGGAGGGGCGGGGGTTCAGGCAGGTGCAGAGTAACATTTTTTTTTTTTTGTTGTTCTTGAAAACAAAGTGTGAGGGACGCAGCAGAGCTGTCAAGTCCCTTGCTGAAATTCACAGCTCTGTGCCCCCGCAGTCGCTCGCTCAAGGTCTGTGTTAGGAAGGTCACGCGGGAGGCTGCTTTCGTCGGAATACCTGCTTCTAGCGGAAAGACCCTTACTCTTTAAATATTAAAACCATGAAGCCTGTAACTCTCGACGACAGCTCTCTTGGGAAGGTGCGGTGTGGAACAGGGGACTGCAGTTGTTTCTAGGCTCTGACAGCATAATTTTCTGTTTGTCCAGATTGCAGGTTTAGCAGTAAACATTACACAGTGTGTTAGCAATTATAGCTTATTACCCTGATTAAAAGGTGGTGCATCTGAACTTTTAAGAACTGAGCAAGAATTCTTGCAGAGTGAACTGTCGCCGAATTTTGGAGTTTGATGCAGAAGGGCAATGATTCACGTCTTGCAGCTATCTGCATGACATCTCTATTTGCATTTGTGTGAAATTTTTTGTGTGCTCTGCCATATTGAAATTTTCTATTAACAGATTCGTAACCAGATCAAACTTGAGAATCTGAAGTGTGACATGCTGTGCGTGCTCCACTGTTAGAGGCCTCTGATGAAAAAAAAATTAGAGAAAAGCTAAATGTAGCTCATTTGAATAAATTAATATATCTGAGAAATATTCTTGACTTTTAGTTACCACATAGTAGCAAGATTTTTTTGGCAGGCAGTGTCCTATTTATGTCTAAAACAATACATACTAATATTAGAAGAGTTGCATATAATAAATAGTAAGACAATTGAAGTGATGGTTAACTCAGAGAATTATGTAGAGGAACTAAGAGCATACTTAATTGTAGAGGCTGCTAATGTGATAAGTGCTTCATACTAGTTCAGGAAAAGTGAATTATAAATATTGCTCTTAATCTATAAATAGTAATGCTTCCTTATGAGTGAAACTTTTAGATAATAAATGGCATATTTCTGTTTGTAGAAATGCATGGTATGTCATTTTTGAGCAGTCAATAATGCATTGGAAATCCTTTAGTTAATAAGTACTTATGATAAAATCAGAGCACTACTAATACAAGTGGGGCATATTTGACTCTCTTTTCATAATTATTTTATTTGGAATGGATTTTTAGTACACAGTTTCACAATTTAATGCCACTACTCATAATAGGGAAAACCCTACTATTAACAAAACAAAACAACTTCTACAAATACTGAGCCTAGCATGAGTGGATGGCAGGTGAATGGATAGGTCAGTAAGTTGAGGATTTTAGGTCCAGAGCCATCACCAATTCTAATCTTGGACTTAACACTTTTATTTCCTTGAGTATCTCAAAAAAAAGGTGAGGGCTATCTCAGGTTTACCTCCCAGGGATAAGTGGATGAATGGAAGAGTAGAAAAACTATTAATGCTTTGAAAACTGTGAGGTGCCATGCAAACATTTTATTTTATGGTGTTAAGATGACCTTGCCTCTTCTGCAGTGTTGATGTTAGAATTCCTGTGAAAAGTAGTTTAGTAGTGGTAGTCTCATTGTAAGAGGGCCTCAGGGAACATGTTTTGAAGTTGCATCTTTACTTAGATATATCTGTTTATTTTTTCAGCAAGGGGAAAGGTTGAGAGTGCTGCTGCTGCTGGAAGTTGGCTAGAGAAGCCCCGAAGTCCCTCAGTGGAATTTCACTGTCCTCAATATGTCTGAGCAATGCAGTGTTCCTGCCTTCCTCCAGGCACTGTGCTGGGCAGTGAGGATGCTTATTGGCTTGGGGCTCGGGAGAGGGTTTGGTGTGAGGACAGCTGCATAAGCAATTAACTACAGTGTGATGATAGGTACTTTAATGGAGATGTGTAAAGTGTTTTGGGAATGCAGAGGAGAGACATCAGGTCTGCTGGGGGGATGCTTCCCAAGGGTTCTTGCCTGGACCTCAGAGGCTAAGGGACATTTAACCAGGCAGAGGACAGGGAGTACATGCCAGCCAGAGGAACAGCTTGAGCAGAGACACAAAGGTGTGGCATAGGAATCTGCTAATTTTTTTCCTTACCACAAATTTCATTTGTGACTGAATCTAGAAAATAGGAATGTGTGCTGTATTTTTTTTTCTTTTTACACATCCTATTTTTATGTAGCTTTTTATTATGGCCATTTCCCAAGCATGAACAGAAAAAGAAGAAATGGTATAATGAACCCCTATGTACCCTTTGGGGATATGATGCTGGAACCTTTTAGCTGGGAACACAACATAAGTGGGATATATAGTTCAAATATATGCATGATTTAAGTGACAACCATTGTGGATATCTATAAATTGGAAGTAAAAAGGAGAGTGAAAATAGAAAATGTTACAGGAGTTAAAAAAGTTATGTGATGAAATTGAAGTGAAGCAAACAAACAAGGAAGATAAGGCCTTAAAAGTGTTTTGTGAGGGGTGCCTAGAAAGTTATCATAGACAGGACGATACTGCATAAACTTGTATGTGGGGAAGGGTGTTGAAAACATGTCGATGTTAGGATTGGATTAAAGAAAGAAAATGCAAAGAGTTTAATGTAGGAACTATTCATGGTCTAGGACTAGGACTGAGGAGATGAGAGCCTGCAACTATTGATCTTGAAATCAGAAAGATACCAAATACTTAAATAGATAAACCATTGGAAAAAGTCTCAGCAGACACGTTGAGAATCAAAGCAAGCTTGCGACTATCTTTTAGATTTTGTAATATTTTTTTTATCACAGAGATGATTAACTGTTTGAGATTTAAGATATATAAGATTGTATTATGTGGTTTTTTTTAGAAAATTGTGTATATATTTCTTACAAACAGCAACAAAACTCTAAGATAGCATTTTTAAAAATGTGCTGAACATTGTTTACTTTTAGTGAAAATATTTTTCCCACAAGGTTTTAATTTTTCAGCCTATGAACTTAAGATCTCATGGTTGGTAAAGAAGCACTATGAAGTGACAGGGACCACATATATTCACATATGTCTTGGTGAATCATTGCTGGTATTCATCATGATGGAGCACGGGTCTGAGAACTATGGCCCATGGGCCAGATATGGCAGCTGCCTGTATATCTCTAGAGCTAAGAAGGGTTTTTACTTTCTTCTTTTTTTGTGTGTGTATGTTACTGAGGATCAAACCCAGAGCCTTGCACATTCTAGACAAGTGCTCTACAACTGAGCTGCAGCACTAGTCATTTTAACATCTTAATTTGAGAGAGGATCTTGCTAAGTCAACTATTGAGTGGGTAGGGGTGGGGTGGGGAAGTCTATCATGGCCAGCATCTCATTGGGGGTTCTTCTCCTGTCCAGGAGGGTGTAAGCAATCCTAAAGCTTAAAATCTCAAATAATTAGTGAATAACAAAACACAAATACTCAGAAATATGTTTATAAAAATTGAAGCCCCTGATAGATCTAGTCCACATGGGTTCTGGAACTAGACAAAGACAAAATGGCTCCAATGGTTTATTTAAGGGATTACATCAAAGGCAGGGATAAGATTTCAAGGGTAGAATTTTGCTTTGGGATGTCTTGCAGTCAGCAGGTTGATTGACATCTTGGCAGGTCACACCTATCTCAGGTGCTATGTGGGCCATGGCAGAGTGGATAGAGATTCACATTGTCCCTGGCAATTGACCAGAGAAAATGTCCACTGGTCATTCCCAGACACCAGATATCTCTATCCATGAGGCTTCCATGTGCGGTGACCCACATGCAACCCGTGGACCGTTCCTGACAGTCAGCTAGTCTGGACTTGAACTTACGATCCTCTGCCTCAGCCTCCCAAGTAGCTGGGATTACAGGCATGGGTTACTTTCCCTGGCTACATTCCTGATTGGTTAGAAATAGATAAAAAGAAGAGTAATATTTTGTGACCTATGAAATTTATATGAAATTCAAATTTCAGTGTTCATAAACAGTTTTATTGAAACACAGCCACACTTACTTGGTTACATATTGTCCGTGACTGCTTTCATGCTACAGTAGCTGAGTTGAGTAGCAGTAAGGGAGACATGTGGCCCATAGAGATTAAAATATTATGGGCTGGGGTTATGGCTCAGCGGTAGAGTGCTTGCTTAGCACGCGTGACGCACTGGGTTCGATTCTCAAAACCACATAAAGATAAATAAAGGTATTGTGTTCATCTACAACTAAAAAAAATTTAAAAATATGAACGATGTGAACCTTTATAGAAAAAATTTGCCATCCTTTTCTCTAAATGAAAGAAGCTTACTAAGTGATTGACAGTAAAACCACTGGAGATGAAATAAATTGTCTTTTTATAGGAAGGAATTCACAATTTGGTTTTGTTTCCTATAGTTAGAAGTTGTGCATAGCTTGGAGGGCAGTCCTCAGTGGATTACTTGAGGACCACTGGCTGTCACAGCCATAAAGAAGAAGATGAAATTAACATGATCAAGTGTGGAGAAGGTTGTCATCTTTTAAAAGCAGCCAAGGAATTAATTTTTAAGTATTTGTGTTTCCTTTACAAAATACTTCTTGGACTGTCTCTTTGCATCTGACTTAC